GTACTGTCACACAAATTAAATCAATTTAATGTTTAAACGAATGTATTGTTTTATAGCGTTAAACAAAACCAACGCAAGAATTGATTTGCCAGGTATTTGTTATATTGAAATGCCAAACACAGAGACTTGAACCAGCTAGCTATAGGTTTTCTGGCAATGGTCACTACAACAAGAAAACATATCGATTTCAATGACAAATAAACTATATTTGGTATAAACTACATGACAGTGAGCAACCGAAGCTGATGTACTATGTCAGGTAATCACAAAACACATTTCAACTCGGGTTACCAGCCTTTGGTGAGCAAACATTTGGTTCTGGGATGAAAGAGAGAGAACTTTGCAGTCAACTGAGATGATTACGTTGACAGTTCACAAGCTGGTGTTTTAATTAGTGGGGTTTACCTAGATGTTTGGTTACAGTTAGTTTATCTCTCACTTTCATTTCTTCTTTTGTCTGCCATCTCCCAATGGAGCATGGACATTCAAATAAAACACACTGGCCCATTTGTAGACTTATTTAGATCTGGATCAAATTTGCTGTCAAGTTTTGCGTTGATGGACACAATCGTCAATCTTCTTTTCTAGCAGTGTTGCGAATCACGTCAATATGTTCCACTCCGACTACCATTCTTATTTTTTTTTTTTGGTGGGTTGTTTTTGTTTGTTTGACAGAATCACAGTTTCTTCTTAGTTGAAGCATTCTTAGACATATTGTTTAATCTAGCATTGCAACAACTAGCATTCTTAGACATATTGTTTAATCTAGCATTGCATCAACTAGCATTCTTAGACATATTGTTTAATCTAGCAATGCATCAACTAGCATTCTTAGACATATTGTTTAATCTAGCAATGTATCAACTAGCATTCTTAGACATATTGTTTAATCTAGCAATGCATCAACTAGCATTCTTAGACATATTGTTTAATCTAGCAATGTATCAACTAGCATTCTTAGACATATTGTTTAATCTAGCAATGTATCAACTAGCATTCTTAGACATATTGTTTAATCTAGCAATGTATCAACTAGCATTCTTAGACATATTGTTTAATCTAGCAATGTATCAACTAGCATTCTTAGACATATTGTTTAATCTAGCAATGTATCAACTAGCATTCTTAGACATATTGTTTAATCTAGCAATGTATCAACTAGCATTCTTAGACATATTGTTTAATCTAGCAATGCATCAACTAGCATTCTTAGACATATTGTTTAATCTAGCATTGCATCAACTAGCATTCTTAGACATATTGTTTAATCTAGCAATGTATCAACTAGCATTCTTAGACATATTGTTTAATCTAGCAATGCATCAACTAGCATTCTTAGACATATTGTTAAATCTAGCAATGCATCAACTAGCATTCTTAGACATATTGTTAAATCTAGCAATGCATCAACTAGCATTCTTAGACATATTGTTTAATCTAGCAATGCATCAACTAGCATTCTTAGACATATTGTTTAATCTAGCAATGTATCAACTAGCATTCTTAGACATATTGTTTAATCTAGCAATGTATCAACTAGCATTCTTAGACATATTGTTTAATCTAGCAATGTATCAACTAGCATTCTTAGACATATTGTTTAATCTAGCAATGTATCAACTAGCATTCTTAGACATATTGTTTAATCTAGCAATGCATCAACTAGCATTCTTAGACATATTGTTTAATCTAGCATTGCATCAACTAGCATTCTTAGACATATTGTTTAATCTAGCAATGTATCAACTAGCATTCTTAGACATATTGTTTAATCTAGCAATGCATCAACTAGCATTCTTAGACATATTGTTAAATCTAGCAATGCATCAACTAGCATTCTTAGACATATTGTTTAATCTAGCAATGTATCAACTAGCATTCTTAGACATATTGTTTAATCTAGCAATGCATCAACTAGCATTCTTAGACATATTGTTTAATCTAGCAATGCATCAACTAGCATTCTTAGACATATTGTTTAATCTAGCAATGCATCAACTAGCATTCTTAGACATATTGTTTAATCTAGCAATGCATCAACTAGCATTCTTAGACATATTGTTTAATCTAGCAATGTATCAACTAGCATTCTTAGACATATTGTTTAATCTAGCAATGCATCAACTAGCATTCTTAGACATATTGTTTAATCTAGCAATGCATCAACTAGCATTCTTAGACATATTGTTTAATCTAGCAATGCATCAACTAGCATTCTTAGACATATTGTTTAATCTAGCAATGCATCAACTAGCATTCTTAGACATATTGTTTAATCTAGCAATGCATCAACTAGCATTCGTTCACAAGGAACTTCAAAAGATCTTCTTAATACGTTAAAATGTTCCTTACAGCTGGTACTTTTCCGCAAATAAATCGACTCAATCTTCACTCCACACTCCTGCATAACCCGGACAAAATTTGATTCTAAGCCTCTGTAAAATCATCATCTTTATCATCATCATTCATCCCCACCGCCATCAGCGTCATAATTATTACTATCATCATCATCATCATCATCAACTGCAGTATCAACATTTTTGTTATCATCGTCATCATTTTCATCATCAACATGATCTTTATCACCAGTAAAAATCATTAGCATTAGTGTGTGCTGCGCCGATGAGCATGTTTTGGCATATCATACGATAACCATAATTATGGATTAGCTCAACGTTCTTGCCCTATTCATTTGTGTTGCTCAATTCTTTTAAAATGTTTATCTTTGCTCTTCTATTCTCTTCTCCCATCACTCTTACCAGTTGTCACCAAGTTGTCGCGTAGATTTTGTTCACTTTCTGTATCTACTTTCTCTAATCTACGGTTTTCATCTCCCTGTGATAAAGACTGTATAATGCGGGACATCAAAACCTACAAATACGAACCACAAGAGTTAAAAAACTATTTAATTTTGAAACAAAGCGGCGGTTTTACCGCGTCCGGTCGAACATGTGCGCTAGTTGATTTGCCGGGTATTTGTTATATTGAAATGCCAAACCGGGAAATTAGAATCGGCCAGCTATCGCATTCTTCCCTTTGGAAACTTTAAAAACATAACTTATCGATTAGAATTACACACTAAAAACATTAAATGGCAGTGAGCAACCAAAGCTGAGGTATTATCTAAGGGAACCACAGAACACCTTTCAGCTCAGGTTACCTACCAGCTTTAGGTGAGCAAACACGTGATTCTCAAATGAAATAGGGACAAACAGAAGGTTGCTGACAATTGAGATAATTACACTAGCAGTTCACAAGCCGATGCATTATTTAGCGGAGTTTACGTAAGTTATGTTTAGCGTGACTCTCAGTTTGATTTCTTTGTTTGTTTTTCATCATTTGATAGAGCGAATGCCCTTAAAAAATTTAAGTCGAGCCTTTCGAAAACTATATAAAATATAAACTATACCAATTCTACTACTTCTAACAGACAGACTAACATATTATACAAATAGATTGATAAATAACCAAGTTAAGATGTTTTTAAAATTGTGCACATATAATTAGGTAAATAAACATCACCACCCAGTGCCGATTGGTCTATAAATATAGACCTAGCCTTATATACCCAAAACGCTTGCAGGGGTGGTAAAATGTCCTTTGCTTTACCTTATTAAGTAAATAAACAGTTTTTATGCAAATTAATTAAAATTACGTCGATACAGCCTTGAGTGGGTACAAGGTGCAGTGCTGGGAAGTAAAGTCGACCGGCGTGATGCTGACCACATCACCCACTAAATGCTGATTGGTCTAAAAATATAGGTCTAGCCCCCATACGCCTAAAGGCGTGGAATAAGGACCTTCACTTGTTAAGTAAAGTAAAGATCCCTTTACACGCCCTTAGGCTCATCGGGCATATGGGAAGAGCACCCATATTTTTACAGACCAATCGGTACTCGGTGGGTAATGTGGTCAGCATTACGCCGGCCGTCTTTACTTTCCCAGGACAGCACATCCTGATACCCATTTGAGGCTGGGTCGACCTGCGACGTCCCATACCACGATAAAAATCCACGCAGCCCACGCAGGTTTCGATCGCGGTACGTTGGATTACGAGTCAGACTCGCAACGCCTTAGCCACGGACGCCGCTACTTGTTACTATACTGAAACAAATAACAATCTATCAAAAATGTCAAGAGGAACTACGTAATATATCCAGCCTTGGTCAATGCAAGGAATACATTAACAAGTTTGTATACGGAAGGTGAGAGTAGAGAATGTCGGAGGCGTCGCCTTATATAGGAAATACAAAGAGTTAGGACAAGAGCGGAAATAGTTGCAGGCATTATGTGAGTCTAAGTGAGGATATATCTTGTAGCAAGAACATCACAGTGGGGGGGGGGGGGGGGGGGGGGGGGGGGGGATGGGGGGTGGGGGAGTGGAGGGTTGATTCAACAAGAGTCTTCCTTAAGTAAAAAGTAAATTACAGAAATGTGAAGTACATTGAAGTGAAAAAGCTGACACGAAGTGGCACACACACACACACACACATACACACAGAAAACGAGAGACAGAGAGAGAAAGAGAGAGAGAAAGAGAGAAAGAAAGAGAGAGAGATAAAGAGAGGAAGAGAGAAAGAAAGAGAGATAGAGAAAGAGAGAAAGAGAGAAAGAGAGAGAGAGAGAGGGAGAGAGAGAGAGAGACAGCGTCTGAAAAGGGATAGTTCTGTAGCGGTGCTATTGAATAGAGTGCACGGGGTCATGATAGCAGATGCGGATTTAATTTGCAATGCTTTTTGACTGTACCCAGCTGTTTGTGTTGGCACTTCTGGTGGTTGCCTTATGTATCTAGTGCGTGTTTATGACATTGCCTTTGCTGAGACCGCAAACTGTGTCCCCCACCCCCACCCCCCACCACGCACACACAAGTGGCAGTGATGGACATTCTGTGTGGTTTTCGTTGGGACAGGAACTGATCAACTATGGGATGATCCATTGCTACGAAGTTATAACCGTGATAAACTGATTATAAACAAATCAACATAATCTTACTCGCAGACATGGATTTCTGTGGAGGGATTTATTTGGGCGTTTCGGCATTTGTCGCTCTTGCAACCGTAGCCCTGTCACAGACATACGCAGACACCTTGGCTATCTTTAAGGACAAGCTGGGCAACGAGACCTACAGCGTGGATGTGCGGCCAGTCTGGAACCAATCCCTGGTGATGCAGGTGAATGTTAGCTTTGCGCTGTTGACTATTGTGGATGTTGATGACGTGTCGCAGAGTTTCAACTGTAATGGGTTTCTGGCGTTCGTCTGGAAGGATGAGGTGAGTATCAGCGTTTCTTTATTAGAGATTGTCCTTACCCACATAGGGGAGTCACTGTGGTGTAGCGGCTAGATACTTGCCTGTGGATCGGAAGGTAGTGGGTTCGGGTCCTGACAGAACCAGGCTTTTTTTTCTCACAAAAATGACATTGGCTCCCAAATCGACCCAGCCTTTTTTGGTAACAGGTACAAGTCTTCAAAAGTAAAGGCGGCCGGTGTAATGCTAGCCACATCACCCACCAAGCGCCGATTGGTCTATAAAACATAGTTCTAGCCCTGTATGCTCAAAACGCACAAAGGCGTGGAAAGGGGCTCTTTATACAAGGTACCTTACCCACATGGGACTGCTGGTTGGTGTGGCCGTTACAATTGGCTTATTTATACATTCTGTGGAGGTTGAACGGGGTACCTAAGATCTGCCTTGTTGGTCTACCCTCCTGATGAGATGTTTAACAAAATCTTAGGAGGGAATAATAAATCTTTAGGTAACAGCCCGGGGTGGGCAGAATGAACAATCAGACTGTATGTGTCTTATTATTAACTATCAGAGATTGTCCTTACCTACATAAACTATAGGTTACACTTGGTTTGTGTGGCCGTTATGGGTTACTTCATTCTTTCCATCCCAAAAGGTAATAGATGACACCCCATTGAGTCAACTGTGAAAACAAACTAATGGGTATGCTACATCCACAGGGCCCAAATACACATCCTTTGTGGGAGACAGATGTGTTGTTCAGTGTTCTTGCAAGTTCGGACTCAGCATAACATGTATAAACATAGTAAAATATTAAATCAAAAAGAGACAGTCATCTTTTTTTGTTCCTGTTATGAGAAGATGGAAAATGGAACGTGTTGTGACCACTGGAAAGATTCTCGTTGGAAAGAGAACGAACGAACGAAAGAACGAACAAACTTTATTTTCAAAGACTTACAAATTGGGCACGCAGGCCCGTCTGACATTCGATAGAGAAAGGAAGACAGCGCGAGAAGATTCTTGATAGCTTTTTGTCATGGCGAGGAGGGGTGTCATCACACTAAACACGCTGTAGCGGACCACAAATTGTGGTGAGGCATGATCGCCCACTCCAGTTGGCAAGGCACTTGATGAGTTATAAGTATATACAGTCGCATATGGTGCCTTGGTTGGGACTGAATGAACTGATTACAACTTCTTTGAAGGTTGAACGGGGTATCTAGGATCTATCTTGTTAGTCTTTCGTCCAGATTAAATTCATTTTAACCTGAGAATTAAATGGTAAATATGTAGCTAGTAGCCAGGTGTGGAAAAAACTAATCGATTGAAAAGTAAATCTGTAGCTAGTAGCCCGGTGTGGAAAAAAGTGACCGGTTGAATGCTAAATCTGTGGCGAGTAGCCCAGTGTGGTACAAACTGACCGATTGAATGCTAAATCTATAGCTAGTAGCCCGGTGTGGAAAAACTGATCGATTGAATCGTAAATCTGTGGCGAGTAGCCCGGTGTGGAAAAAACTGATCAATTGAATGGTAAATCTGTGACTAGTAGCCCGGTGTGGGACAAACTGATCGATTGAATGATAAATCTGTAGCTAGTGGCCCGGTGTGGAAAAACTGACCGATTAAATTGTAAATCGTTGGCTAGTAGCCCGGTGTGGGACAAACTGACCGATTGAATGGTAAATCTGTAGCTAGTAGCCCGGTGTGGAAAAACTGACCGATTAAATTGTAAATCGTTGGCTAGTAGCCCGGTGTGGGACAAACTGACCGATTGAATGGTAAATCTGTAGCTAGTAGCCCGGTGTGGAAAAACTGATCGACTGAATGGTAAATCTGAAGCTAGTAGCCCGGTGTGGGACAAACTGACCGATTGAATGGTAAATCTGTAGCTAGTAGCCCAGTGTGGAAAAACAGATCTATTGAATGGTAAATCTGTAGCTAGTAGCCCGGTGTGGTACAAACTGACCGATTGAATGGTAAATCTGTGGCTAGTAGCCCGGTATGGGACAACTGATCGATTGAATGGTTAATCTGTAGCTAGTAGCCCGGTGTGGGACAAACTGATCGATCGAATGCTAAATCTGTGGCTAGTAGCCCGGTGTGGGACAAACTGACCGATTGAATTGTAAATCTTTGGCTAGTAGCCCGGTGTGGGACAAACTGACCGATTGAATGGTTAATTTGTAGCTAGTAGCCCGGTGTGGAAAAACTGATCGATTGAATGGTAAATCTGTAGCTAGTAGCCCGGTGTGGAAAAACTGATTGATTGAATGCTAAATCTATAGCTAGTAGACCGTTGTGGGACAAACTGATCGATTGTATGGTAAATCTGTGGCTAGTAGACCGTTGTGGGACAAACTGATCGATTGAATGGTAAATCTGTGGCTAGTAGACCGGTGTGGGACAAACTAATTGATTGTATGGTAAATCTGTGGCTAGTAGCCCGTTGTGGGACAAACTGATCGATTGATCAGATTCCTATAGTAGTAGAAGGTTGCGCATGAGATGCTACAATGGAAAAAACAAACAAAATATTGTCTGCTGTTTCGATCACGTATGTCAGAAACAATTGAAAGTGTGCGAGACAGAAGACTGTGGTTAATATGGCTACCGGTGCCACACGACATAGACTATGTAAAATCGTCTATATCAGAACTTATTGAAAGTATACGAGATAAAATATGGATATATATAACAACCAGAGCAACACTACATGGACTGGGTAAAGTCAAGTGTGTCGAACTGTTTGAAAGTATACGAGACGAAATGTGGATATATATGACTACTAGCGCAACATTACCCGGACTGGGGAAAGTCAAGCGTGTCGAACTGTTTGAAAGTATACGAGACGAAATGTGGATATATATGACTACTAGCGCAACATTACCTGGACTGGGGAAAGTCATATGTGTCGAACTGTTTGAAAGTATACGAGACGAAATGTGGATATATATGACTGCTAGCGCAACATTACCTGGACTGGGGAAAGTCATATGTGTCGAACTGTTTGAAAGTATACGAGACGAAATGTGGATATATATGACTGCTAGCGCAGCACTACCTAGACTGGGGAAAGTTAAGTGTGTCGAACTGTTTGAAAGTATACAAGACGAAATGTGGATATATATGACTGCTAGCGCAGCACTACCTTCACTGGGGGAAGTCATATGTGTCAGAACTGATTGAAACTATACAAGACAAAATGTTTCGGATAGTTATGACTACCAATGCAACTCATGCACTATAAGAAGAATATTCCGTCTTCACAATGAACCTTCTTATCTGCGTAGAACCGCAGGTTTCAATTGTCTGGTATAATTGTTATTATCATCATCAAGTGCCTTGCCAGCTGGCGTAGGCTTCATGCGGCCCCACAGATCTCGGTCTTTGGTGTTCTGGATCAATAATCTGATGATATTCCTCTATGCCACTGTCTTTCGCCATCCACCATCTTGTCGCTTGAACTGCCTCTGCCTCTTCTACCAGGATCTTTCCAGTTTTCACGATATTTTCCAGCGCTCCTTTTCTCATTACATGACCAAAGAACTTTGTTTGTCTCCTTCTCATTGTTGTATATAATGTTCTACTTTCATCAGTAATTTCCAGGCATTCAAGGTTGGTTAATAGTTGTTATAGGTGTCGATAATGATAAATCTCAACGGACAAGATAACAGAGCTTGTAAAACTTGTAATTATTGTCTTTATTGATCACTGTTCGCTGTGCAGGCATGGGCGTCGTTGAGCAGAGAGATTTAGGGCCATATGGCTAATGCTGTCGGCAGAGATTGTGTCCTTGACAAAAAACAAAACCCATAAATTTACTGATGATTTACACTTAGTTCTCCCTAATGGAAGCACAACATTCTTAGCTGTTCGACCGGTTGCTAAACGGATAAAAATCGAGCCTATATATATATATACATATATATGTGTGTGTATGTGTGTGCGCGCAAAATACATGTTTGAATATATGAATGTTTGCACAATATGCACTATGTATATGTGAGTGTATATCGTTTGTGATCGTCAGATACTCGAACACTCATTCTCCAGGACTGCAGGCTGAGAACCTCTGCAGTTCGGGACTAGACCGCAGCAAAAGAGCGGATATAAAGCAACCGACAGGAACACTAACACGCCAGGTTGTAGAATCAGAGAATCTGCGGTTTAGGGGCGATGTTCTTTTCCTTCGATAGATCATGTCTTTTACCCCAAGATCTGGGATGACACTGGGCACCAAGCTGTCCATCAGTAACAAACATTCACTTATTGTCAGGGATGCACAAATTATAAATAAAGCAAAGATAAAAGAAACTCGACATTAAGAAAACATATAAAATGCTTTAGAAGGACTGCAGGAGTTTCAAGGAGAGACATCATTCAAAATCAGGCAATCAGACGAATGCTAGGAATAAAGCCAGTCATCAAAGAACAACATATGAAGTGGTTTAGACACCTAACAAGAATGCCCTGGTACTATCTGCCAAAGCGAGCCACACTAAAACGTTACAACAGGTATAGAGCAAGCCGAAGACCTCAGACAATATGAAGTGATGGCATTAGGAACAGCCTCACAGAAATGAATATCAGTCTTAATAGTGCTCTTGACAGAGCTCATTAACGAATGTTACATCTTCCCCTACACTTCGCTGAGGTACAAGGTGGAAGAGAAGAAGAAGAAGAAGGAGGAGGAGAAGAAGAAGAAGAAGAAGAAGAAGAAGAAGAAGAAGAAGAAGAAGAAGAAGAAGAAGAAGAAGAAGAAGAAGAAGAAGAAGAAGAAGAAGAAGAAGAAGAAGAAGAAGAAGAAGAAGAAGAAGAAGAAGAAGGAGAAGAAGAAGAAGAAGAAGAAGAAGAAGAAGAAGAAGAAAAAGAAGAAGAAGAAGAAGAATAAGAAGAAGGAGAAGAAGAAAAAGAAGAAGAAGAAGAAGAAGAAGAAGGAGAAGAAGAAGAAGAAGAAGAAGAAGAAGAAGAAGAAGAAGAAGAAGAAGAAGAAGAAGAAGAAGAAGAAGAAGAAGAAGGAGAAGAAGAAAAGAAAACAGCAGCACAAGTGCAATTGCAAATGCTAAAATCATAAGGCCATATAAATCTAAAGCCACAGGCAAACATTTGTATTGCATGAATTTACGATATTTTTTTTTTTAAGTGCAAGGGCGCGATTTTAAAACGCACTGTAGTAGATACAGAGTAACCTACTGGAGATTGATTAGGTACATGTGAAGCAACTGTGCCCGATCGTCATTTATCCTATAACCATCATCAGTATCATTATCTGTGGCGTTCAATAATTTATTTTAAACATATTTACATAGACAATAATACATTTAGAGTAAAGTTTTAAACGACACAGGATGATACTGATTATGATTATATGATAAGTGATGATCGGGCATAGTTGTCTTTCATAATATCAGTAATTATCAGTAATATCATTTTTAGTGTAAGACAGCACAGCATATGACACCAAAACATCTAGCATGAGAATGGAGGTGGAGGCGGTAACTGCAGCTCTCCGGTGGCTAGAGGACAAGATGCACACATGTTGTAATAGTAACAGACTCTGAAAGCATGCTGAAAAAGAGGATGACAGTGATGCTTAGAGCAGAGTGGCAAGCTTCACTGGAAAGGTCACGGGTAGTAAGCATACTTTGGATTTTTTCTCTAGGCCATGGCGTAGTCGGTAATGAACAGACAGACAGATTGGCTGGATCCGCATCACCGGGTGGTGAATTTATACGTGACAAGGCAGATGTGGTCAAGGCTCTTTAGGAACAAGCAAGGTAATCATTAGAGAAAGAAGATTATTACGGTCTAGAGAGAATGAGGCACCTGGGTGTAACCAGAGGGTCTAGCCGGCACACTACATTCAGAGGGAAGGCAAGACAGACATTTAACCAGATTGTGACCGGTACCATCAGTATTGGAACTCCTCGCTGGCTGCTGAAGATGAGGACGGAGCATGAATGGGAATGCCCCGAGTGTTGTGATGTCAATTCTTGACTCAGCTCAACTCAACTCAGCTCAACTATATGAGCTTTCCAGATTTAAACTCTAACACAGGTACTGTCTCTCTTTTTATAGATCTTTGCAGGGGTCACAAGCCGTTCCAGTTTCCTTCTTCTCATAACATGACCCTAAAAATGATGACTGCCTTTCTGACGTGTGATATAAGTTGTCTTCCAGCTTTTCCGAAACATCTGAATATAAATGCTAATTAATATCTGTCTGTAGATGTTGGCTTGGGACCCCGCCAAATACGGAGGACAGACTATGATCCACCCACAGGCCAAGGATATTTGGAGGCCTAGGGTGATTCTCGCCAACACGCTAGAAGACAGGGACATCTTCGCCGAAAACAACGCGTAAGTTCAGCATGCATGAGTTAGGTGAAATAACAGGTGAGGGTTAAGTTTTATGTTAGTCTCCCCAAACAAAGTAGGTGAAGTTTCATTTACAAGTTTGTTGGACTGGTATACTTTCCTGCAGGTTACGGATGTGTTGCTCTCTCTAGGGGTGGGGGGGGGAGTGGGGGGGGAGGGGGGTGTTGGACCTAGTTTGTCCATGTTTTTAGAGTGTTTAAAGTCCTGGCGTGCTGAATTACACAATGCGCAATATCAACGGCATTGCGGAAAACCCCCGTAACCCTTCAGTTATCCCAAGCATGCTCGTGATGCAGGATACTCTACACGTAAGAGACCAGTTTCAGTTTTCCCAAGCATGCTCTGTGATTTAAACCAAGTGAGGTAAACCTTGGACGGCCAGAGTAACTAACAACGATTGCTTAAAAAATCTAATGAAAGTAGATCTCTATATACAACAGTAAGAAGGAGACAAACACTATTCTTTGGCCATATAATGAGAAGAGAGACATTGGAGAACATCGTGACAACTGCAAAGATCAGTGGAAAAAGGGGTAGAGGTAGCCCAGAGACACGATGTTGGATGGGCTGAAACGATGGAATGGAGGGATATCATCAAGAGAGCTGTTCCAGGCAACCAGGGATCGTGATCTATGGAGACGTATGATCGCCTGCGCCAGTTTGCAGGACACACGATGATAATGTTTAGGTAAACATCACAGAATAAAGGGGAGTTAGGAGTAAAGAAATGTAAAGGAAAGAAAGTAACACACGGTAAAGTCAAGTAAAGAGAAAATTCAGTAATATAAAGTGAAGTAAAGTTTTCAAGGAGATCAACATATTAAATTATAACACGCATCGGCAAAGCAACAAAAGACTTTAAAAACCTAACAAAATAGGGAGCTTCAAATTACAGCTTCAAGACCAAACTACGAATGTGCAGCTCCAATGCTGTTGCAGTTCTAACACACACAAGCGAAAGTTAAAGAACCACCAAAGATATCGAATGAAAACTAGCTGCCTCTGAAAATAAATGTCTGAGAAAAATCATGAACGTGAAATGGAATGAATGCAAAAAAGAGCGAGGAGATCATAGCGATGTCTAGACAAATACCTGTACCAACTGCAGTAAGGCAAAGAAGGTGAAGATCTATTGGGCACACTCTAAGACTGAATGAGAATTACAAAAACAAGCATCGAAATGGGAAACGGCACAAAAACAGGACGTTCAAGGGTATAATAAAAAAGAACATAATTACAAGAAGCTAAGATTGTTAGACTGAACTCCGTGTTAGAAATCGAGGGGGTTGCATGCAAGAAAACGAATGCAAGCATCATATGATGTCTAACAGTCACAAATAATGTTAATGATGATAAAGTAAATGAAGTTAAGTAAAATTAGTACCACAGTGTAAAGTAACGTGAAGAACGAAGTAAAGTAATGTAAAGAGTGAAGTGAAGTAATATAAAGAGTGATAAAGAGTGAAGTAAAATAATGTAAAGAGTGAAGTAAAGTAATATAAAGAGTGAAGTAGCGTAGAGTAAAGAGTGAAGTAAAATACTGTATAGAGTGAAGTAAAGTATTATAAAGGGTGAAGTAAAGTCACGTAAAGGGGGAAGTAAAGTGATGAAAACGGTGAAGTAAAGGAATGTGAGGAGTGAAGTAAAGGAATATAATGAGTGAAGTAAAGTATTGTAAGGAGTTAAGTACTGTAATGTAAAGAGTGAAGTAAAGTAATGTAAGGAGTGAAGTAAAGTAATGTAAGGAGTGAAGTAAAGTAATGTAAAGAGTGAAGTAAAGTAATGTAAGGAGTGAAGTAAAGTAATGTAAGGAGTGAAGTAAAGTAATGTAAGGAGTGAAGTAAAGTAATGTAAGGAGTGAAGTAAAGTAATGTAAGGAGTGAAGTAAAGTAATGTAAGGAGTGAAGTAAAGTAATGTAAGGAGTGAAGTAAAGTAATGTAAGGAGTGAAGTAAAGTAATGTAAGGAGTGAAGTAAAGTAATGTAAGGAGTGAAGTAAAGTAATGTAAGGAGTGAAGTAAAGTAATGTAAGGAGTGAAGTAAAGTATTGTAAGGAGTGAAGTAAAGTAATGCAAAGAGGGAAATAAAGTAGTGAAAGGAGTGAAGTAATGTAACGAATGAAGTAAAGTAATGTCAAGAGTGACGTAGATCAATATAAAAAAGTGAAGTAAAGTAAAGAGTGAGGTAAAGCAATGAAAAGAGGGAAGTAACCTAAAGTAAAGAGTGAAATAAAGTGATGTATGTGACGTGAAGTAACACACAGTCAAGAAACGCAAAGAGTCAATAGAAGACGTACAGTCAAGTGAATTAACACAAAGGAAAAAGAAAACAAGTTAATTGAGATAAATGAAATGTTTAGAACGCTGGGCACTCACACTGAAGAGCCGGGTTCGAACCCTCGGTAGAACGGGATTTTCGTCTCTCGGGGGTAAAAATAAAATCCTAAGCTGCACAGCAATAACGAGGCTGCCCTAAATCTACAGACTCAAAGACATCCATGGATACATTGCAAAAGTGGTAATACAGGCGGTAATTTGCAATTTAAATTTTTTTGAGGTAAGAAACACCCTAAAAAGGGAAATATTAGAGCAAAGTAGAGAAATGTAAACTGCAGTACACAAAAAATACAAAAAACAAAACAAACAAAACAAATTGATAGAAAATAAAGTAAAATGTAAAGAGAATAAAAGGCTTTGGCCATCTTGTAAAACAGACTAAACTGTCATGAGGCCTTCTACTGCAGAGCATTTGGACGAAAGATGAGAGGAAGACCAAGTAAGATGTAGATATATTAGTAGGTGTGGTTAGGTTTAAATAGTTTGAGCCCTGATCCTATTGCAGCCCCATGTGTGGTTCAGTATTCCTGCATCGCAGACGGACTTGACTTTAAAGACATTGTGCGTGGTATGTACAGACATTGTACATTGTGCGAGGAGACATTGCATGAAAAGACATTGTATGACAAGATATTTGATGAAAATACATTGTATATTGTATGAGAAGACTTTGTACGTTGTATGAAATGACACCGTATGAACAACTTTGTACATTGTATGAAAAGATACTGAATGAAAAGACACTGTACATTGTATGAAAAGACATTGAATGAAACGACTGTACATTGTATGAAAAGACTTTGTACATTGTATGAAAAGACACTGAATGAAAATATACTGAATGAAAAGACTGTACATTGTATGAAAAGACACTGTATGAAAAGACATTGTACATTGTATAAAAAGATATTATATGAAAACATACTGTACAAAAAGATATTGGATGAAAATACATTGTACATTGTATGAAAAGAGACTGTATGAAAAGACTTTGTACATTGTATGAAAAGATATTGTATGAAAACATACTGTACAAAAAGAT